TCGCTTTCCATGTTCTTGCGCTGGTGCCACAGCAAGTGTCTCTGAGCTGGTGAGAGGAAGGAAACCATCCTGAGCCTCACGCCTTGGGTTAAAGGGCAATGATGATAAAAATGCCCGGAATGAGTCCATTGAGGAGGCTCGCACCTTGTTCCCATCAAGCAGAGGAACAGGAGGAACCTGGTATTTCTGCCACCCTCCTCCTTGCTGCAGACCTTCCGTGACATCTCGTTCGCAGTGGATCGGAGCAGGCTGCTGTGCATCGGCACTGCCTGCGCGTACCCACGGCCCTGCACTCTGGTTTTGGTCAGCATTCCGGCCCCTGCCTCCGTGTTCCCTTTGTTATTCCCAAAGTCAACCCACGCGTGTCCTAGCAGATGCCTGCATCAGTATCATGGAAACACACGGACAGACCAGAAACACAAGGCTTTTGGGTCAAAACACTTTGCTCAGTCCTCGGTAGTCTTGTACAGGTGTCTCCAAAGGAAACCCTCTTTTTGCTGTGTGACACCCCGAGTGTTGGCAATGCCATCTTCCTTCCATGGTAGCGGTCTATATAGAAAGTTTTGAAAGCATGAAATTAAATTTGCTGCCTATTGCAAGGAGCACCTGGGCTGTGTGGCCAGTACAAGCCACCTCCTGCTCATGGTTTTAAAGCAATCAGGTTTTCCTGGGTTTTTTTAAAGGAAACAGAGTTTCTCAAAGCTGTGTGAGTTTCAGTCAGTAGCAGAAGTAAGATATATCCTCCTTTTCAAGGAAAACCTAAGCCCGGTGTCAGCATCCACCCTATTTTTACCCACCAGCACCAGCTGCTGGATATTGATGGAAAAAGAAAAATAAGGAGAAAACTGACCGTCTGGCTAAAACAGCAGCTGGAAATACAGTGATGAAGCTGTGGCCTTCCCTCTGGCTCCTGAAACCAGGCACCTCAGCCCCAGGGCTGCTGGACCCCCAGTGGAGCTGGTCCTGTTGGGGCTGCTTTTTGTCTGAGGCAGAAAGCAGAGAAGTTGAGCTGGGATGCCCAAAAAACCCCATCCAGTCCCAGATGCGTCCTTCCCCTCTTCCCCTTCCCTGGCCACGCGCGGTGCAGCAGGATCTTGGCTTGGAGACCTCCCTTGGCGCATTGCTCAGGGGACACGGCCACGCCAAGGGGTCTCTCCTGCCTGGGAGCTTTCCCAGCCCCTGAGGCAGTTGGCAGCTGACCACCGCAGCACATCCGCCGAGGCTGGGAACGGGAGGCTGCCGGCTCTGCAAAAGCCATTTGCAGCCGCCCCGTGCATTCAGACGCCTGAGGAACTTCCTCTGCTCTGCTCCCAGGGTCTGCCTGCAGCCCGCCCTGCAGCCCTGGAGACAGTAAAAGAGTTAACAAGGATTGGGAAATCCTGCAAGGTTAATACTGCGCCAGCTTGTCTGAGTTAGGAGATAGGCTTTGCTAAACCCTGAGGAAGAAGAACATTGTAAAATTGGGGATTTCAAGGTCTGATAAAGGAAAGAGCCACAACAAGTGCTACAAGGCAAAAATTATGGCTCAGGTGGGGAGGTCGACAGGATGTAGAACTGGCAGTGGGAGGTCACAACCACCCACTCAACTGAACAAGGGGCTGGCCTACCCCCAGCATGTTCCTTCAACATGTGCTGTGGAATAAAAGGACGCTGTACCTTTAAGTCAAGACAAAGAAAACTTTAAGCCGATAGGAATCGTGTGAGGTAAGTAGCCAGCGATATTATTCTGAGAAGAAAGCTTAGAAATGGCGTGTGTAAATCTAAACTGAACCAATACCTTGTTGGTTTAACGGTGTGGTGTGCTGACTCTGTGCACCCAGCACCCACCTCTGCGCAGCCATGAAATAAAAGCAGATACCTCGGCTCTGTGTGTTGGTCGGTGCTGCACACCGCGTGATCAACCCAGATTTAGACAACATTTCTGGCAACCCAGGTGGGCCAGCCATACAGCCTTGTCCCAGTCGTCCTGCCTTTCTGACAGCAGAGGATGGAATCAGATAGGACTCCAGCATGCACTGACCCGTTTGCTGGGGACTCCTCCAAACCTCCAGTGTCGGGTGGTGAGCAACTCAAAACAGTAATGTTCAACAAGTAGTTGTGTAAGGGTGAAAAGTAGGTGAATTCCTGGATTAGTGAGTATTGACTGGGAACTGGGAGAATGGAGAGCTGCCCATGGTTAGAGGGGATCAGGTTCGGGAGCACCTAAGGAACCTGAAGGTGAGCAAGTCCATGGAACATGATGGAATACATCTGCGGCTCCTGAGGGAAGTGGTGAATGGGGTTGCGAAACCTCTATCCATCATATCTGAGAAGTCGTTTCAGTACGGTGAAGCTCCCACTGACTGGAAAAGGAAACATAACCCCTACCTTCAAAAAGGGAAAAAAGAAGGATCCAGGGAACTACAGGCCAGTCAGTCTCCCCTCTGTGCCTGGAAAGTTCATGGAGCAGGTCCCTCTGGATACCATGCTGAGGCACATGGAGAATGAGGAGGTGAGTGGTGACAGCCAACATGGCTTCACCAAGGGCAGATCGTGCCTGATGAACATGGTGGCTTCTACGATGGGATCACGACCCTGGTGGATAGAGGAAGACAACCGCTGTCATTTACCTGGACTTGTGCAAAGCCTTAGACAGCATCCCA